GGACCAGTCTACTGTGGAGCACATTGGACGTTTTACTGTCCAGTGTGGGGATGTAGGAGATTTTATTAAGTTAAGAGTATTTGTAAACTCATTGACAGGACCTGCTTTTGCTTGGTATGTCAACTTGCCATCCAACTCCATCCAAACATGGCAGCAGATGGAGCAAATCTTCCATGCTCAGTTCTATAGATCTGAGCATGAGGTTTCCATGGCTGATTTGGCGCGCATGCGCCAAGAGCCAGGGGAGTTGGTGGAGCACTTCTTGACAAACTTCAAGAATGCTCGTAACCGTTGTTTTGTCAACTTGACAGAGAGAGTTAGTCAAGTTAGCACAAGGGGGGTTGAGTTTTGAGTTAAGGAAGAAATTCCAAGATAGAGAATTCTCTTACTTGTTCCAACTCATGTCTTGTGCGGTGAGATATGACTCTCTTCTTAAAGAAGAGGAGAATAGGAGGAGTGCCTCAAGGGGGCAATACTTCCCCAACATCGGCTACCCTGTTAACCATATTGGCCAAGAGGCCAATGAGGTGGAGGTAGACCTGGCCGAGTTAACTCCAGGGAAGCCATATGTATGTGCTCCTTTGGCTAAGATGGACAATGAACCACAATGGGGTAGACCAAATCGTGCCCCTATCCAGCCATGGAGGTATTCCTTCGATATCTCCAAAGCCGATTTGATTTTTGACCAACTCTACAAGGATGGTCAAATCAAGTTGACAGGGGGGCATAACATCCCACCACCCGAAAAATTAAAAGGGAAAACATATTGTAAGTGGCATAACAACATGCTACACTCCACAAACTCATGTGTGGTTTTTCGCAATATATTGCAGGATGCCATTGAGAAGGGTCGCATCAAGCTCCCCGAGCCAAAGAAAGATGCCATGCTGGTGGATACCAACCCATTTCCGAACTTGCTTGGTGTCAACATGGTTAACCCAGACTTCTCAAAAATTGAGCTCCCCCGTTTCAAGCTGGTGTTGGATACAACAACGCAACAAGGGACCCCCACCATGGTGTTCGAGCAGGGAGAGTCATCGAAGGGTACGCAGGCAAACTCGGCCGCTTCTAAGGTTTCAAGTGAGGTGGAGAAGCTATGTGCCCAATGCAAAAGGAGTTCTAGACTTGATGAGGTGAGACCGAATCGACCAGTCCAACAAAGAATTGGTCCACCCCATAGGCCGAGATACCCATCCTATCAAAGACAAGTAGACGGGGTCATTCAACCGACATGGGGGCAAAGACGGCAATGGGTGGCACATGGCCCTCTTCCCATGAGAAGGACTTCTAAGATGCCCAATGTACCACAAGGAGGGGGGCATACTTATGATATGCATAGTCAACCAGTAGCTATTGGGGGGATGACAAAGACTCAAAGGAGGAGATTCCTACGTAAGAATGCCAAAGCACGAAAGAGGCAATACCCAGTAGTACCTGGTGAGATGGTGAGACCAACACAACAAAATGAGGATGGTCATGCTAGTATTGAGGTGGACAACTCTATGACCACGGGTTCCAAAGTGATAGTGTCTGACCATGGCAAGCATGCCCAAGTCCAAAGTGATGGTAAGGGTCAGAAGGGAAAAAATGGTGTAGGGGGTGATTCAAAGTCAGCTTGTGAAGAATCATCTCATTTGAACAAACATGGCCATATGGTGTATGGTTGGCTTGTTTGGTTTAATACATGGACTTGGCAGTGGATGTATACCTTTGGCACTTTAGTTATTGCCAAAGGGTGTGGAGATCAATGATGCTTGTAACTACTTATTATATACAATAAAAAAAATTAAAAAAAATTAATTAATATAGAAAAGCCAATCATGGCTATATATATTTAAAATCCCAAAGTGGCAAGTTTCAGAAGAAGTTAGTAGGTTTTTATGTGAGAATCTTACCACGACTGGTAAGCCTCAATCATTACTCGTATTGTCAGGCCATTAAGGTGGCCTAACCATGCCAAACTTTAAAATTTTGTAAGGTGTGAACTATATACCCCATGACAAGACATGGAGGTGATGGTGAATGGCATGGGGTATGATTAGTAGTAGTTTGGATTAACTAGGGGGGGGGGGGGGGGGGGATGATGTTGTAGCCCAATAACTTCAAAAGATACCACGCCGTGTGATTTAAGAGTGACCATAACTATTGGTGGTCACAGTGGCATGGGGGGGGGGGGGGGCACGGTTGTGTCGAGATGGAAGGACTATGGAATAATTATGTTTGACTCCCTTCCTTCCTCCCACATGGCAGCAAAGGAGAAGAAATTGGGATTGTTTTCGTCATTTAAATTGTATGGCCAACTATTTGAGTTTGATGGCCTAGTTGGTGTGAAACTACTTAGTCCATAATTCTTATGCACCAAGTAGTTGGGGGGCATTTGTTCACCCATAAAAATTAACCTTGTACCACATCGGTTAAAAACAAGGAATTAAATGGCTTTATAAGGCCAACTTAATCATATCAGTTTAAATCAGTTGAGTGGGCCATGGAGATTGGGTTTTTTGGGCCCATTACTCCGTGCAACCACGCGCGCCATGTATCTCCAAATTTGGCTAAGTGTGGGAGCCACTCCCATGACACCCAAAGGGGGTGGGCATCATACCACCACCCACATGGTGAAGCCACCCCCAGGACGTGGTAAGGGGGGTGGGCATCATACTGCCACCCCCAGGAGGTATCAAGGGGGGTGTCCACCATCATACCACCCCCAGGGCGTGGTAAGAGGGGTGTGCATCATACCGCCACCCCCAGGAGGTATCAAGGGGGGTGGCCACCATCATACCACCCCCAGGACGTGGCAAGGGGGGTGGGCATCATACCGCCACCCCCAGGAGGTACCAAGGGGGTGGCCACCATCATATCACCCCCAGAACATGGTGAGGGGGGTGATGGCCGAATTTGGCTAAGGGAAGAATTACCACCCCCAGGACATGGTAAGGGGGGTAGACATCATACTGCCACCCCCAGGAGGTACCAGGGGGTGAGTACCATATCGCCACCCCCATGACGTGGTAAGGGGGTGACTCAGGACGTAGTGAGGGGGTCATATTGCCAACTCCCATGGGGGTGAAATACGATTAAGTATGGAGAAGGATGGGGGCCCCATGGTATGATCAGGGAGGGTGATCACCAATGATGGCAAATAGACACCCCCCCATGAGATGATCAGGGGGTGGCCATCAACACACCCCGCCATGAGCATGCAATCCCCATGATATGATCAGGGCGGTGATTAATATCCACCCCTATGGGATGGTCAGGGGGTCACCAGCATTCGCCCCATGGTATGGCCAAGGGGCGTGGTCAACATCGCCCCCATGAGGTTGCCAGGGGGGGCTACCAAGACATCACCCTCGTGAGGTGGTCAAGGGGTGTCAGGTGGGCACGTGGTCTCCCTACTCCTGTAATGGTGAAGTGTTTTTGCCATTTTTGACTCAAGTGATTCGAGTACCCACCCATATGTGGCACGTGGTCTGCTTTCATGCCTTAGCCATTTTTTCTCTATAGACAAGCAAAGCTACGGAGGAGATACCAAGAGCATGGAGTGAGGTTTCAAGAGGAGAGGCCAAGATTGGTCTACATCCAACGTCAAGGTAACCGTCGAAGCAGTTGAGAGGGTAACTGTCACTCCACGTCAGCATAGCAGTTTCTTGTGGCAGTTACTTCTTATGGCTATAAATAGGAGGTGATGATGACAGAGAAGGGGTTCGCAAAAATCACAACTCGACACCACTTGTCAATTTTTATCTTTTCCTCTGCAGATTTTAGCCATAGTCGTAGTTTTTGGAGCTCTCACTGAACCTCCATAGGAGTAGGGCTAATTTAATGTAGATTTGCCTCGTAGTTCATCAAAACATTGAACACCCTTGTTTGAACTTTGTTCAAAGAGGTGTGAACTGTGTTGTTTGATCGTTTGTTTGGAAGTCAAAAGTGCAAAATCCAATTATGTTCTTCTAGTTTTTCTCGCCGGGAAAACATCAACCAAACGCAATCTAGGTGCCACCAAAACCAATAAGCTTCCTCAGCTAATTGGGCCAGCTGTTACCACCCAATGATTCTCTAATAATAAAAGAGAAGGCCAGCTTTTGCCAATGAAAAATTTCGATGACTTCCCCTACCCAAGATTTGATAAGAACAAATTATGGAAGTCAAATATATTAGTAGTCATTATTTGTTTCCTGAATCAAAGACATGATTAAATTATTGCTCTTAAGTAACAGTGAGTTCATAATGAGCCAAGAACAACTTCGCAATGATTCTTCAATGCTTCTTCTACGACTCTCATACACTGATTACTTTAATTATGATACCCGAGAACATATGAAATGTCACTTAAAATGGGATTTTAATCAAGTAAGATTCTCATGAAAGTGATATCATACAAAGCGTCTTATTCATGATGATACCCCTGCTTTTCCAATCAGATACCAGGTTGTAGCAAGAGACGTGAGATTGACAGATAGTAAAGTAGAACAACACAGTCTATATACTCTATTCTATGTCGACAGGGGTATATACGGCTAGCTGTGGAGGAGTTCTAGCCAATTTTACTCTTTTACACTCACAATTAATGACAACAATTGCCATGAAAGTATTAGTTCTCCGAATTGATCCGGTCCCGGTTCGGTCTTTTCGAAAATATAAGAATCAAAGATTGGATTAGATACAATCCGGTTTTTAACCGGTCCGGTCCCAATTCGATCTTGATTTTAGATTGAACTTGTGGGAATTTTGGGGGGGGGGGGGGGGGGGGGGGGGGGGGTTGTGGGGGGTGGGGGGGTGGGGGGAGGTGTTGAGTGACCTAAGGCCTGAAAGGTATCCGGTTTTCGGTCCAGTCCCAAAAGATTTTTTCCCTCAAATCTAGCCCCGAAAATTAAATTGGATTGTTTGTTATCCGGTCCGGTCTCGATCTGGGTTATACCTTCAGGTTTCGGGTAAAACCAAAAAGTCCAAACAAAATAACCATCCCTAAAAGCCCCTCCAACCACCTGCCGCCATCAGAGCCGCTAAACTATTTATTCAGATAAAGCTAAGCTGTAACGTAGGACTAAACAGTAACACACAAGTGCATCATGCGGAAATCTAAAGATTAGGTGAGCAAAAAAAATGACAGATCGACTCAGGTAATTAAACCATTGAAGCGCTAACTAAGATCTGAAGATGAGGGTTACTAATTATCAACTATTCGGTGACAGATCGAGAGTAGCTGGTAAGACATTAGCCCTCCAATTACTACGCCATTCAAATAAGTTCCCCTCGTTCAAATTCCTGATTCGGTGTATTTGATGCTCTTCAAATTCCAAATATCATCAATATCCCACAACACACAATCATTCACAGCAGCAGCATAATCATCAACCCTGTAGTGGTCGACGTCGAAACAGGGGAGCCAGATCGAACTCCACCACATTTGCTCGTAATCCAGCACCCCGCCGTGACGATGATCAGCTTCACCTCCATTGTACAAGTAGTTGTAGTACCCCCTCTCCACCGCCGGCGCCACCGCAGAAGCAGAAGCACAATTACCCATTGTAGCTGTAGCTGCAGCTGCATTAATATTACTGGTGGCCTCTCCTCCTCCTCCGTCTTTGTTACGATGATCAGGCTCTGCTCCCACCACCTTGCTTCTCATCATCTTCCTCGTCGCATTCCCTGTCGCAGCAGCAGCATGATCAGTAGTAACACTCTCCTCCCCATTACTGATCCTCTGCCTTTTCATGTTCTGTTTTTTTTTTTTTTTTTTTTTGCAACTTAGCTCTTTCTATTGCTGTGGAAACCAAGGGGTTGGTTCGTTGATATTTATAGCAGTAAACTACAAGGGTGGTTGGGGGGTTGGGTTTACTGAGGAATCTGGATGTGCTATATGTCCCCCACGTCTTTTCTTCTTATGAATTGATTTCTTTTGTTGTCATCTTGGCCGACTCATCACTTTGGTCTACTCCCCACCCCAAGCACCAATTCATGTTGAGGGTCAATTCTGGCCTCTGATTCTTTCCCTCTTTGGTATGTCGATGTTGAGGGTCAATCCACATAAACTCACCTCATCGACGTTTTGGATACCAACAAATTGGTTATCAATAATTAAATGTTAACAAATCGAATTTTACTGTAAGTTGATGTATGTCGTATATCAGATAATATCCATCGTACGCGGTTCATCTCAACGGTCAATATAAGAGCAATTCTACTATACTATATAGCATTGGTGTTTTAATGTACAACTTAAAGTTGTACCATAACATTAAATGTATAAGTTTAGGTTGTACTACAAAGCAATTTGTATCATTATGTTATGGTACAACTTTACAACTTGAAGTTGTACCATCACATAAAGGTACAAGTTTAAGTTGTACCATTGAAGAATTTGTACAAAAAGTATAGGTAAAGTTGTTCCATAAAGGCAAAAATCTAAAGCACCAATACTATATAGCATTGTAAAATTTCTCTCAATATAATTGTGAGATTATAAAATAAAGGGTAAATACAATATAGGGTGCGCCTACGGTGACATGCATGTCACGGTGACTTGCACTTTTCGGTCGACCTCAGTTAGGATTAGGTCGACCTCAATACCTCATGTAGGATTAGGCCGACCTCATTTAGGATTAGGTCGACCTAATCGTTGTTTCAGTGTAAAAACAGTTTCATGGTGCCTACTTTGGAGATTCATATCTTACAATTGACTCAATAGAAATTGAAGATTCATGGCTTGTTTTGAAGCTGGAGTGTCCCTCTACACATTGAAGTGCTTGGAAGCTCAATAGGAAGTCTAGAAAACCATTTTTGAACTTGATCAAAAGGCTGTGCCAAAACTGGGTAACTGGCTGAAAATTGCCAAGTCTGGGAACGTGTTTGTGAAGCCTACTTTGAAACTCAATTCAAGAAGCATGGATGTGAGTCGAGTCCAGTGACCTCTACCACGTTAAATTAGGTATGTTTTTATACAAATTCAAGTCATTGGATCAAATATTGGATATATGTAAGGCTTCAAACAAAAGAGTCGAAGTCTGCCAGAAAACAGTCTTTGTAGCAACTTCGACCCTTTTGTTTGAAGCCTTACAGATATCCAATCTTTCATACAATGCCTTGACTTTGTATAAAAACATACCTAATTTAACGTGGTAGAGGCCCCTGGACTCGATTCGTATCCATGCTTCTTGAATTGAGTTCAAAAGTAGGCTTCACAAACATGTTCCCAGACTTAGCCATTTTCAGGCAGTTTCCAAGTTTTGGCATAGCCTTTTGATCAGGTTCAAAAATGGTGTTCTGGACTTCTTATTGAGCTCCCAAGTACTTTAATGTGTAGAAGGACACTTCGGCTTCGAAACAAGCCATTGATCTCCAATTTCCATCTAACCAATTGTAATATATGACTCTCCAAAGTAGGCACCATGAAACTGTTTTTACACTGAAACAACAGATTAGGCCGACCTAATCCTATATGAGGTCGACCGAAAAGTGCATGTCACCGTGACATGCATGTTACCGTAGCAAAGTCCTACAATATATTATCGCATTTATGTTGACCGTTGATTATTGTTTCTAATTAAATTGATCTTGGGGTATAAGATTTAGAGAATTAAGGCATAGATTGTGATCTTTAAGGGTTAGAGTATAGTATCATGTCCAAAAATTCAATCAATTCAAAGTCTAGATAGCGTTTTCATACTCAAGATATGTGGTACCTTGGATTTCACCCTGGGTACCGTAGAACTCCCCATGTATATATATATATATGTATATGGTTCAGGCGTACACTTACCTTTTTTTTTGTTAATGGTGATATATATTAATTGAAAACAAAGAATAATACAAGGACAAGACCACAGAAATCAAAACACGGCTCCATGGTCAGAAACAAAACAAAAACCGACAGGGGAAAGGGGGAAAATAGAAGAATCCACCCACCCCTGCTCAACGCCAAACCAGCAGAGAACACTAGCTCGCAAAAAAGAAAACTGGAAACCCCCCCCCCCCCCCCCCCCCCCCCCCCCCCCCCGCCAACCCACCTAACAAAGCAAGACAGTTCGTATCAAACAGAAGCAGATAGCAAACAGGGGGGGGGGCAGTGCTCGGCACGCTTACAGAGCAAACACAAAAGCCAACCTGAAGGATCAAGAAGCCGAAAAACCGAAAAACCAAAAACCAGAGGCCTATGATTCTTCCTCACGAGGCTGTGAATGAGAATTCGAAGTCTGCTGCTGCGGATTATGTGGGAACAGCCTGTTCTTCATTTCTTTGATCCATGCTTCTGCAATCTCTTTGTCAACCTTCCTTGCTGCCATCAACCACCAAAAAATAGTGTATCCAATCTTCATTACAAGTGCAGCAACGTGGCTTTCTTGGTCATTGAATATCCTATTGTTTCTTTCCAGCCAAACACACCAGCAGAAAGCATGTAGGACTACTCTTGAACACCACTGAGCTGGATTTACCGGATTCGAACGCGACCAAAGTCTGATTCTTTCTGAAATATCCAGACTCACTACAGCACTTCCTTCCAATTTAACAAAGCATTTTAGCCTGCCCCAAACCTGATTTGAGAAAGTGCAAGTGATGAAAATGTGATTCGGGGACTCTTCTTCCTTCTTGCAAAGGACACACCGATTCGGGATGTAAAAGCCTTTCTTCTTCAAGTTGTCAATGGTGAGGATTCGCTTGTGGAAGACCAGCCATAGGAAGATGCAAATCTTACTCGGTATGATGCTAAGCCAAATCACCTTTGAAGGAAACTCCGAGATTCCCAGATATCTTTCCGCAGCTAAGTGATCATATGCCGAATGAACGCTGAAACCAGCTGTAGGGGACGGGAGCCACCTTGGTCTTTCAGGTCCTGCAAAAAAGTTTTGATATGGAATAGAGTTAAGTGTTTCAAATAACCTCACCCTCTCTCTTTCAGCCCCACCCCAAAGTGAATGAGTCAATGGAATATCCCATTGACAGTTTCCCTCAGAAAAGGAAAGGTATTCCGCAACGGTGGAGTTCGGGGATTCGGCAGCAGCTACAACTCTCGCGAATTCTTCAGCCAGTCGGATGCCCTCGATCCAGGTATCAAACCAGAACGAAGTCCAAAACCCTTGACTATGCTCTATTCGAGTAAGTTTCCAGAAATCAGGCTGCAGCTTGACAATCCTGGCCCATAGACTGCCTCCAAGGCTGCCCGATGACCTGCCCGAGAACCATTCAGACTGTTGATTAGGGAATTTGGCAACAATCATCTCCCTCCACCAAGATCCTCTTTCAGTCGCAAATCTCCAGTGCCATTTGAGTAGGAGAGCTCGGTTATTTATCTCCAAATCACGAATACCCAAACCTCCCCTGTTCCTGGCCGTTTTACAAAGTTCCCAGGACACAAGATGTAGCTTCTCCCTTTTCTCGTGTACCAGACCAAAGGAAATCCCTTTCAATTTTCTCCAAAGAGTTGATGATGTTCTTGGGGATTAGGAACAACGAGCTTATGTAGTTACTCTGGCTTGCAAGCACCGCGTTGATAAGTACAATTCTCCCTCCCAGCGATAGAAATTTCCCTTTCCATCCCTCTAGTCTTGACTGAGTTTTAGCCACAATGTTGTTCCAGTGTGCAGTGGGTGGAGATTGACACCCGAGAGGCAGCCCAAGATAAGTAGTTGGCAAGAAAGCCCAATCACAGCCGAAGATTTCGACCAATCTTTCAATATTAGCAACCTCCCCCACTGGGAAAATTCTCGAGTTCTCAAGATTTATTTGTAGGCCAGTTATTGCTTGGAAACATATCAGGGCAGCCAGTAAGTTGCGGAACTCGGCTTCATTTGCTTCACAGAATAATATAGCATCATCTGCATATAGTAGATGTGTAACCTCTCCAATACGACTCTCTTCATTGATATAGAAACCCGTGATGAGCCCTTCTTTCCTTATTTCACAGAGAATAAAAGATAATATGTCCATGCCGATGTTAAATAAGAAGGGCGAGAGAGGGTCCCCTTGTTTGACACCACGAGTCATTCCAAAGAAACCGGTAGATTCACCATTGACAAGGATTGAGAGCCTTGAGGATGACAGTAGTCCTTCCAGCCATTTCCGGAACCTCGAGTGCAAACCCAAATGAGTTAATGATTTCAATATGCTCTTCCAGCTGATAGAATCGAAGGCCTTTTCGATGTCTAGTTTGATAACAACCCCCAGTTTTCTACTTCTTCTACGGCTATCAATCACTTCGTTGGCAATCAAACAAGATTCATGGATCACTCTGCCTCTTTTTCCTGCGAACTGGTTGTCAGAAATTAGTGTGTTCATTTGAGGCAGAAGGCGGTTGAATAAAACCTTTGTAATGACCTTATTTAGACTTCCAAGTAGGCTAATCGGGCGGAAATCAGATACCGTCTCGAAGGGATCCCTTTTGGGCAATAAACAAATGAAGGCATGAGCTGTCGATTGCGGAAGGGTGCCAACCAGGAAAAACTCATCGAATGCCTTCAGTAAATCGCATTTAATGATATCCCAAGCTTTCTTGTAGAACTCAAACGAGTAACCATCCGGCCCCGGAGCTTTACTCCCGTTACTCTGCCTAATTGCTTGCCAGACTTCCAACTCCGAAAATGGTTTCACCAAGTCTTCATTATCGATAGGAGTGAGCAAACAGTCCCTGTACCTGGCTGGAAAAGGTCTATCCTCTTCCCCTTCTACAAACTTGGCAGAGAAGTGGTTATGGAAAGCGATTTTGATCTCATTCACATCATCCGATACCCTGCCCTCAATCACCAGCCTCTTAATTCTGCTTTTCCTCTTATTTACTTTAGCAATTCTATGGAAGAATCCAGTATTCTTATCTCCCACCTTTAGCCATATTTCTCTCGAACGTTGTCTCCAGAAGATCTCTTCCATGATTAAGACCTTCTCAAGCTCGCATTTGAGAATAGCTCTTTCAGACACTAACAACGGATTAAGCTGTTCAGATTCTTCAGCATCATCAATAATTTTAATCCTCAACAGAATATCCGCGATACGCCTCTCAACTTTCCCAAAATGGTCTCGGTTCCATTGCTTGATCATTAGTTTGGTTTGCCTGCATTTTTGCCCGAATCTGAACAAATAGCTAGTCCCATTGACTGGGATGCTCCACCACCCCACCAAGTTCTACAGAAAAGATTCTTCTTGCAACCACATGTTTTCTAACCGCCAGGGATGGCTGAACCGTTCAATTGAACCCCACTGTAGACGGATCGGATTATGGTCTGACTCCACACGATCAAGAGTGATCAGGGTCTCCGGGGATAGCAGGTCTTCAAAACTTGAATTAATGAGCGCTCTGTCAATTCGTGACGCAGAAGTCTCTCCGCCTCCTCTACTCCACGTGAACCTGGCACCTTGTAATGGAATATCCACCAAATTGCATCTATTAATCAGGCTGTTAAATTCATTCATGATCTCCAAGTCTCTAGGGCACCCTATGAATTCTTCCTCTGATCTGACAAGATTGAAATCACCAATTATACACAATGCAGCCAAGTATTCTCTGCAGACTGACTCGATTTCCTTGAGGAATTCTAATTTTTCCTTCTTTTCCTGAGGGCCATAAACGACTACGAAGGAGATGATGTCTTTGGATTCAATTACCTTCATCTGTAAATGGTAGAATCCCAAAAAATAGCAATGCCACTGCTAGCTCCAACAGAGTCTTTGGCAACCCAATCACTGGATTTGCTACCACTAACTGATGAGATCAGATTTCTCTCGCACTTTTGCCATTTAGTTTCCGTGAGACCCACTATAGAAGGTCTCCATCTCTTCAGAAGCCGCTTAATTTTTGCTCTCTTATTTGGGTTTCCCAACCCACGCACATTCCAGGAAATGAAAGAGTGAGGCATGATCATAATCGCCAACGGCAGTGAGAAGGACCACACACCTAATTTGTGTGAGCTGAGCGGCTTCGAGACCTGGGTGTTGGGGGAGGATGATTAAGGCCGAGACGTCTCAGTTCCATATCCAGCTTTGATCTCGCTTCCCTCTTTCTCTTGCGCTGAGAATCGGCCGCAATGAGAGCAACCTTCTGCTTCGCGTTTTCAGAAGAGACGGAGTCCAAGAGCTTGAGAATATCGCAAATCTTTAGACTTTGTTCAATCAACTTAATGCAATCCTGTTCACTGCGCTAGACTTTGAGGTACTCGGTACTGAGGGGGTTAAACGGGATAATGGCTAATTGTTCTGGTTCCGAGGTATCAGGTGAGTCAGAAAGGGAGAAATTGTGGAAATCAGGGTCAAGGTTAGGTGACGGAGGGTTGAGAGGATCGGGCTGTGGGTTTGCAGAGGACCAGTCGGTATGGGGAAGTGGATTATTAGTAGGGGTTAGGAAGGAATTTGGTGGGAGTGGTGGGAAGGAAGCCGGGATGAGGGGCAGATTAGGGAAGAGAAGGGATAGCGGACAATGGGGAGTGATTGAAGGGGGGGATAGAAAGTGAGAGGATGGTAAGGGCTGCATCGGCGATAAGAGTTGGGGAGTAGGCAGATACATTGTGCAGTATGAGGGAGGGGTTGGGTCTCGGGGGTGGGTCAGGGGGGGATAATGCAAGCTGGGTATGGTGGGCCGGCCCGAGGGAAAGAGAGGAGGTGGCTAGGATGGGAGGTGGGCTGGGAATGGTGGGCTTAAATAAAGAGGTACAAGGGGTGTTGGGTGGGCTAAGGTACGGACAGGGGGAAGAGAGGGAATTAGTTTTGGGCAGTGGGCCTGCTTTGTGGATCCAAACCCGCTTCATCTTCGCATTAATTGCCTGTGCAGCATGGGGATCAGAAAACAGCGGCGCATGCTTGCGGATTAATGGGCCAGGGAAAACTGAGGCGTCGCGGGATAACCTCGAGGTTGTGGCGCAGTCCAAAGTGCTCGGAGTTCGTGAGCTCTCATCATTGATCGACTTCCCAGCCAGGTAGGATTCAAAGACCTTGTCTATAAGGCGGCGACGGTTCAGATCCGCCATCGGGCCGACCACTTCCGGCTCCGGCAGAATTTTGACAATAAACACCGTTGTCCCAAATCTTAGCGGCAGCGACGTTGGAACCTTCTTCTTTGGTCTAACCTTGACGCGGACGCACGGGTCCGACCACGAGCCGTGATCAACGTCAACGAAATCACCACAGATTCGCCCAATGTTTTCCAGGACATCCCATGAGCGGAGGAACGGCAGAACTCCGAATAACATGATCCACTGCAGACCACCGGGGGGGGGGGGGCAAAGCAGCGCCCGTCGTCCTCTTTCCAGAATCGCAACAGAACGTTCCATTCCCGAAACTTTGCATGACCGTCTTCTTGAACCCTAATAGCTTCAGAGAGAGAATCACATATTAAATACCAGAGGTCCCCCGCCCTGTTAGAAAACACTGATCCGTCTGATAAACCCCACCGCTCTCTCGCCCATGCTACAAAATCTTCGGTCAAAGAGGACGGGAGCCCCAGGTTCTGGCTATCGAAGAAGCTTATCATTAGGTACCGATCCAGGAATTGCAACCTATTATTGACTCCGTTTTCCTCCACCTCCAGAAAAGCCTGAGATTTATGAGATTTGATGATGCTTTTCCCCTGCTCCTAAGGGAACCCCAACTTGACAGCGTCTGCGAAGGATTTACCCTGCGCCACCCAAGCGCTACGCATGATGCGGTTCCTCATGGTTACTTTGGTTGTTGGTCGGCGGAGTCTAACGATCATTCCTTCCCATTCACTTGGGGCAAAGGGGATGAGGATGAAAGACAAATATCCATTGATCAGCCTTTCCGATATTTTGATGAAGTTTCCTTTCCGACAAGCAAGCCTGGCAATTTGAATGATGCGAGTTGATCCCTTCTTCTGGCGGTTTGTCTTCATATCCCACCCTTTCCGCGAGATTTCTCGGAGCGAGTTACCAAGCCACTCCGCTTGAGGGGGTTCAAAGTATACAAACCTATTCCGACGACCATTTACCGCAACAGTAATTCTGACAAATGCCTTCTTTCTCGTAACATAGTCCTCAATGACAACAGTTCTGAACTCGCTGCCTTGCCTGAACCGAAATTCCTCCGACCTGTACTGAAGAGAACCCAAGAAGCAGTGTCCACCTGAATCCCGACTCACCGCTGTGTACCTGCAAGAAGAAAACGGCTCACACGCTCTACCCCTTTCCCGATCACTCACCCGGGCTCTCTCTAGATTTCTCTCTCATCTCTCATCTCCCTTTTTCTCTCTCTCTCTTATGTTTGGCGTACACTTACCTTACTGTACGCCCTTCGAGTTTTGATATTTAGACCATGAATTAATCAGAGTTTGTGACATGATACTATACCCTAACCTCTAATGGATGAACCCCAGTCCCCAATTCTCTAACCCGGACAATAATATTCATTTAATCTCAAAATAAAAACCAGCAGTACTGATTCGTTGGAATTATTCATGTGCAAATAATAGGTGTGAACACAGGCGTACGCTAGACTTTAACATATATATATATATATATTTATATATGGTGGCTACTTCGGTGCACCCACAAAAATGAGTGTATTCAATGCACTCAACTCTAAATGTATCCTTAAGACAACAAATTTTGAATTTTAATTGGTAGTATTAGTCTGAAATGATGATATAACTATGATTACAACTAATCAATCCATTACCCTAACCCCTAAACCTTCAATTTTGAACACCCGCCTAATCCTAACCCTAAATCCCTAAACTCTTAATCCTTAAAATTAAAGTAAATCTTGAATGATTTTTTTTTATAAATTCATGTGTTTCTTGTTCATTATATCACAAGTGACGATCAATACTATTTTGACTTGAATTGCCTTCTCATAATGACGATTACGAGCCGAGTGCAGTGAATGCACCCAGAAAAGTGAGTATATATATGGTGGTAATGTGTCGTAATGCATGTAGCCTTCAAAATCCAAAAAATGGCCTTTGAAAAAAATCGTTCGAAATATGTGATTGTACCCCTTTGAAATCTATTGAAAAGGGACCGGAAAAAATCCCCCCAAACCGTTTCATAATAGACTTAATCATCGGTGCAGAATACCTTCAAGCCGAATTCATGTTCTTTAGCCTTCAAAATCCAAGAAAAATTAAATTTCCAAAAAATAACTAAAAAATTACGAAATTGCCCTATGAAATAGATACGCCAAAATAGGCACTTAATAGGCTGTTTGTCTATCGTTTATAGGCAGCCGGCATCGGATTTGTGTCCGGAATCGGTTAGTTGTGGTCTTACTGACCGGTCTGGTCCGGTTTTGATAACAATGCAAATTACTTCATCATCGGTGGAGAATACCCTCAAGCCAAATCAATAATATTTAGCCTTCAAAATTAAAAGAAAATAGCATTTTGGAGAAATCTCTCAAAATCTAAGATGATATCATTGTTATAGGAACCGAAACGGATCAACGGTCGGGCCAGTAGAGCCTCCAAATCAGTTATGATAACGGTCCCGTTCATTGCTTGAATGGTTATTGATGGACCAAACGATTTTTCATGGTTCAACATAAAATCAGATGAACTACCACGGTTTAACTGGTTCACTATTTTAACAAAAAAAAAAAATTAACATAAACTAAGACCATCAAACCATAATTATAAATTTTACATATGCTTCCTCTCATCATTTTAACCTTGTTGTCAACTTTACGTTGTCCACTACTGACAGGCACCATAATTTTAAATTTGAACTACAAAAAATATGATTTCTTTTGTGAGATGATTTGAATGATTTATTAGATACTTTGGTGATGATATGAATATTAAATGGTTTATCGTCAATAATAACGTTATTCTTAAATTAGTATAATATAAAAGTCTTATACGTTATATATCATGAATGATTCTATGAACGGTTCACCAACGGTTTTGTAACAGTCAGTGGCGGACCCAGGATTTTGGTATAGGTGTGTCTGCCAATAAATAAAGATTTAATTAATTAATTAATTTAAAAATAAACATAAAAGTTTTATACATTAGTTCATCAATTTCATTATTTTTTATAGTGAACCACGACGAGTTTTCATATTCTGAAAAATTTCTTAATTACATTTGCTCATTAGGTTGCAAATCAAATATTTTTTTTATGTACACAACTAAAAAATTATTCATAAATTGATCACTCGACTTATACCAAAGATTTTTCTCGATTAAACTCATATATGGAAAATGTCATTTTGTAGCTTGCAATTGCAATAAGTAAAGTTAACACTAATTTAATATGAGAAAGCTGGTACAAGAAGCCGGAAGGGTGGCCACAGGCGTCAATGTGTAAGTTTGAATGAGAATGAGGATGTCGTCGGCCGATGCCGACAATTAGATGGTGGTGACGGGCATCAACGTAAAAAGAAATAGCTAAACTAGAAAGCATGTAGAAAGTTAACTTAAGAAGAATCCATGGAAGAAGTTGTCGGGAAAGACAATATGGAATTCACTATCTAACTACTTGACTCAACCAGATTATTAATTAATTTAATTTTCATTCAATTTATTTAGGTTATCTCTTAAGTGATAGTTATCTTTATGAATACTCACTACATAGTAAGTAGTCAATTAATTGTTTACTCTTGTACAACCAACTAATGTTTTGATACTATTACCAAAACAAATGTTTTGTAATGTAATAAGGTTAAGATGTGTCGATTATAATTACTGGAGGTGTGTCGGAGGTCCCGTGTACGAATTTTTTGACAAAGAAAAAATATGGGTTCCTCACAAAAATTTTGGAGCAAGATGTGTCGGGTGACACACCTTGCTACAAGGTGGGTCCGCCTCTGGTAACAGTTAACCACTGAACCCTAAACCACTAACTTTTCCAGTTCAGCTTCCGGTCCGGTTATGAAAACAGAGGATGATACCCCTTTAAATATGCCAAAATTGAACCTGCAAGAAATTCACCCAAATCGTTGTTTAATGGACTTAATAATCAGTGAAAAATGGCCTTAGGATGAATTCGTCATTTGTACTTTTCAAAAGGAAAGGAAAATCTCTAGTTCATATGGGATAAGAGAAATTGTCAGTTATGGAATAAACGGAAGATGGAGGAGTGGGAGATTATGGCTCGAGCAAGCAGATGGTTTGATGAGTACCTTGAGGCGCAGTAGATGAGATACCCCTTGCCCCACGCCGCAATTACGAGCTGGTCCCCGTCGGCTGCGACCGATTTCACAATCAATGTCGACGCTGCATGCCTGACCGATCAAGGAACTGGACTGGGGATTGTGGTGAGAGACAGAGTGGGTTCCTTTCATTTGGGGGCAGTCAGACGCTCGCGGCGACAATGGATTTCGGAAATTGTTGAAGCCATGGCGGTGGGATTCGACATTGAGCTGGCCGGTCGATATCATTTCCTCCCCGGTGAAGTTCAGATGGACAACCAGGTTGTGGAGAGAATTCTACGAGGAGAAAGACAGACGAAGCTGGAGCTGGGTCGGGTTTGTGATGAAATCAAGAAACAGGCTGTGGAGGTGGCTCGGTTCGCTTGGAAGTTCGTGGGCGGAAAACTTAATGAACCCGCCCATTTTATGGCCCACTCTAAGTGTGATTGGGAAGGGGAAGTTATATGGGTAGATAGACCACCTGTCCCTCTTTTATCTCTCTTACAAAAAGATGTTACTGTAACAAACCTACCATTTAATTAATACAAGTAAGAGTATTTGTATAAAAAAGGCAAGGAAAATGGTTTTTCGAAAAAAATAGCCCAAAAATTTATGAAAATATCTTCAGAAATTAAATCCACCCAAATCAGTGTTTAATGGGCTTAATCGTCGGTGGAAAATAATATCAATAGGCTTCATTATCGGTGGAGAATAGCCTCCTGCCAAATCCGTAATCTGTATCCTTTAAAATCGAAAGAAAATTTCATTTCAAAAAAATCACCCAAAACCTATGATGGTAGCGGCCTCTTCGAAATCCGCCAAAACTGGACCCGGAAGTAATTTTAAACATGAGTGACCAAATTGTTAGTAACCTCGAACACAAGTGATCTTTTGTATAACTGGATGGACCTATCTTTCTCCTATGTAATTCACAGCTGCACAACCCATTCATTGACTGTTCCATCGAATCAAGTCTACGATGAAACTTACAAATCAACCAAACGCAGTCTATTAGAATGATCCAAGTCCTAATACACTTGATTAAATAGATCACACTTTTTAAGCCAAGCCCTAATATACTTGATTACAATAATGACTCTCATTAACCGATTACTTTAATTATGATAACCGGGGATGTCGCTTAAAATGGGATTTTAATTAAGGTTCTGATGAAAGTGACATCAGACAAAGCGTCTTATTCATGCATGCACCCCTGCTTTTCCAATCAGATACCAGGTTGTAGCAAGAGACATGAGATTGACAGATAGTACAGTAGAAGAACAGTCTATTTATTCTAATTCTATGTCGACAGGGGTATATGCGGCTAGCTGTGGAGGGGATTCCAGCCAATTTTGGTCTTTTACACTCAAACTATTAATAACAACAATTTGGCATGAAAGACCCTCCAACCACCTGCCGCCATCAGAGCCGCTTAACTATTTATTCAGATAAAGCTAAAGCTGTAACGTACGACTAATTAAACAGTAGTAAACACAAGCGCATGCGCAAATCTAAAGATTAATTAGGTGGGCTGCAGAAAATGACAGATCGATCGAGCCCATTCTGCAGGAAACCATTGAAGCGCTAACTAAGAACTGAAAATGGGGTTACTAATACTAATTATGGTAAGACATTAGCCCTCCAATTACTACGCGATTCAAATAACTTCTCCTCATTTGGATTCCTGATTCCCGTCTATTTGATGCTCTTCAAATTCCAAATATCATCAATATCCCACAGCACACAATCATCCGTAGCAGCAGCAGCAGCATCGTCAACCATGTAGTTGTCCACGTCGAAACAGGGGAGCCAGATCGAGCTCCACCACATTTCCTCGTAATCAAGCACCCCGACGTGATGATGATCAGCTTCACCTCCATTGTACAAGTAGTAGAAGTACTCCCTCTCCACCGCCGGCGCCACCGCAGCAGCAGAAGCGAAAGTACCCATTGGAGCTATAGCTTTGTAAATATTACTGGTGGTCACACTGGCCAGTCCTCCTCCTTCTCCTCCTCCTCCGTCTTTATTATGATGATCAGGATCTGCTCCCACCGCATTGCTTCTCATCATCTTTTTCGTCGACTTCCCTGTGACAACAGCAGCAGCATGATCAGTAGTAGTGCTCTTCTCCCCATTACTGATCCTCTGCCTTTTCATGTTCTGTTTTTTTTTGCGCAACTTAGCTCTTTTGTGTTAAACCTTCTCTTTGCTGTGGAAACCAAGGGGTTGGTTGGTTGATATTTATAGTAGCAAAATACAAGGGAAGTTGTGGAGTTGGGTTTTTTAAAGAGAGAAGGGGCAGGGCCCCGGTTTACTGAGGAATCTGGATGTGCTGTTATGTCCCCCACGTCTTTTCTTCTTATGAATTGATTTCCTTTGTTGTCATCTTGGCCGACTCCTTCACTTTGGTCTACTCTACTCCCCACCCCAAAACCACCAACGCATGCTGAGGGTCAATTCTGGCCTCTGATTCTATTCCCCTCTTTGGTATGTCGATGTTGAGTGTCAATGTACGTAAACGCTCATTGACGTTTTGGATACCAACAAATTGGTTATCAACATTTAAATTTTAACAAATCTATAATAGATATAAATGGTTCTATCGTGAACCATGCAAAAACTAGGGGTGGGAATCGGTCGGTAAACGGTTTTACCGTTTACCGAATTTACCGGTTTCGGTATACCGAGGGTGGCCAAACTGTTTACCGATACCGGTTTGTAACCGGTTTACCGATTACCGAATTACCGGTAAACGGTTACAAACCGGTTTATCGAATTACCGCAAAGGACGAAGTGGGGTGGTTTTTCGGTTCGGTTTACCGACCATTTACCGAACCGAAATTCTGTTAGTGGGGAAGATGTTGTAATATTTTTATTTTTCTGAGTTTTTTTCTTCATTTTTGTAATTAATAATTTATAACATTTTTTAGACCTATACTTATGTATCATTTGTGACTCTTATTTATAATATTTTTCTTCATGATGTATGTAATATTTGTGAATAATGAAGTATATGTTATATGTTAATACTTAATGCCATAACTTAATATTTGAGTTCAAACACTAAGTTGCTATCTATTAATCTATTTAATTTAACATAAGTTCAAAGGGTCAACAATCATGATTCATGAATCAACATCAACTCTCATCAAGCATCATCATTCATCAAATATTCAAATTCATCAAACGACAATTCAACAAACATCGTCAAATTCAAAGGGACAATGATAATGTCTAAATTCAACACAAGTTCAAAGTCCAAACTTAAAAATTAAAATAGACAACCAAATAAGTTAATAACCAAGAGCTCATGCTCCTCCTTCTCCGGTAGAACTTGTAGCACCACCAACATTTGCACAACCTTTCTTCTTCAAAGTCCTGAGAAGAGTATCATCGGGATCATTATCGGCATCTTGGTTCATGTCTTCGTCGGACTCGGTGGATTCTTCATCATCACCCTCCTCCTCCTCCTCCTCCTCCTCCTCTTCCTCATCAACCCAACAACAGATCCATGTGCTCCACTTGGGATGTCACTTGCAGTTTTCACTCGAGATTGGAAAGTATTAGTAACTAGTGCAAATAAAATACACAAATGTTAGTATGTTACTAATGGAATAGTTTAAAATTTAAATAGTAAAGAGTATAGACAAATTAGAATAATAAATTGAATTCTTACCACTTTCATAATCGATTGTCTCTTGATCTTCTTCCTTATCATTCAGTTCATCTACAGTCTTTCCATTTTCATATCTTATCCAATCTTCAGCACATATCAATGCCTCCACAATGTTTGGGCTTAAAGAGGACCTGAAAGGACTAAGAACTCGACCTCCACAACTGAAAGCGGACTCCGATGCAACAGAGGAGACTGGAACTGCTAATATATCCCTAACCATCTCTGAAAGATAGGATATCTAACACTGTTCCGAGCCCACCACTTCAGAATGTCAAACTTCCGATCATCAATCTCCTCATTAATAGCATCACCAATATCTCTCAAATACTGCTCCAACTCACCAGAACCTCGACCCCCCCCCCCCCCCCTCTCAATTTGCTCCTTTCTCTTCTGTTGGAACTGAGCTTCAAATGCGGACTCCACATCAAAGGATCCGTCACTAGTCTCAGTAGGAGTAGTAGTCTGGGTAGTAGGCACAGAAACAAAGGATGAAGTTGCATACTTCATCTTGTAGACATCGTACAATGCAATCATCTCCTTCTTTACTTCATCTGCCAAAGCTTCCCCTTTTGAGATCCCATACATTTCCTCCAACATCATAGTCATATAGTCTAGCTTACGTCTGGGATCCAGCACACAGGCCATGTAAACTATCCTATTTATCCTAAAGTTGTCCTCCTCGTCAGCAACATCATTCTCAAACTAATACTTTCTCACATTTGCCTCTATTCACAATGCCATTCTTTGTATCTGTCTATCTGCATCTTTCTTCAATTTTGCTATCACTTCATGAATATCCACAATGGATTTGCAGAAAGTATGTGTAGTGACATATGATGTTCCTGATACAAAGAAAAATTTACCGAAATTAGTATAAATAATATAACTCATAATCATTCAATTTAATTTTAAAATTTGAAAGTTATTAGTTCATATACCTGATACACGAAGAGTAAGCTCATAGAAGAACTTCAGGTACTTCATGAGCCGCCTAATACTGTTCCAATCATCTTCAGTTGGAAGACCCTTCTTTGAATCCACATACTCTCGAAAGGAAGAATCAGTAGGACTAGCATACATGAACGTAAAAACCTGCTCAAACCTCTCCGCGGAATCCAACATCAGATAGGTGGAATTCCACCTAGTCGGAACATCCAAAGACAACAGTCTTTTCCCATCCATCTCTAGATACTCAATGCCTTTCTTGAACTTTCCCATCCGAGTTAGGGATGACTTCACCCATTTCACACAATCCCTACCCTCACCACAGCAACTCCAACCTCCTTCAATCCATCAGAAACAATCAGATTGATGATATGTGCCACACATCTATACTGCAAATACTTCCCATCTAGCAAATCTGTTCCCCACCTCTTCATTCTCATGCACTCAACAAGAACATCATTCGAACTGGCATTATCCATTGTCATGCAAAACAAACTCTTCACTTTCCATTCTTGTAAACACTTCTCCAAAGTATCTGCAATATCCTTCCCCGTGTGACTAGTAATGGGAACAAAGCAAATAATCATCTTCTGCAACTTCCAATCATCTCCAATAAAATGTGCAGTCACACACATAAAATTCTGGTTATTATCACTAGTCCATGTATCTGTAGTGATAGATATTCTTCCTTTGCACTTTGAGTTAAAAAAAGGCGAAATACACTTGTATAGCCAAAACTTTGACGATTTAGCCAATGATAGCCACTTTTGCCGAAATACACAAAATAGCCATTTCCGTCCAATTCTTTGACAGTGTCAAGTAACGGGCTGACTGGACTAACGACATTGTTGAGTTGGCGACAATTAGTCAATTAAAAATGTGCGGTGGAAAATAAAAATAAATAAATAAATTATTTTTTTATTTTCTCTCTCCCATCTCTCTTCCTTCCCCTTCCATTCCCCAACCAAAACTCTCGTTCAAATTAAAATTGGATTGGATTCGCTGACCAGAAATTTTTACTCTCCCTCGCATGGATTTTTATCGGAAATCAAACACTCTTCATTCCCGATTGATCCTTCCATTACAGCTCCGAGCATAAAAATTGTGTCTTTCGATGATCGCTCTCCCACCACCACCTCTCCAACTCCAACTGATTTACTCTCCCTGGCATGGATTTCTACCCCTTCCTCCGCTCCCTTTCCGCATCCACCACCAAGATCCACCGCCAAATCGCCTGCATCATTCTCCCGATCCTCTTCACTCTCCACACTGGCGACAACTATTCGTCCTTCGCTGCTGCCGCCACCACGCCTGACCAATGGTTTGTGTATGTGAACAAGATCGGCTACTTCTTCGCCATGTGCCTCGGGGAGCTCATCCCCAGAAATTTCCTCAACGATTCTGGAAATTCGAATTTGTGTTCTCTCTTCTCCAGTCGTAGATATGCAATTTTCACAATTCTCGCCAGTTTAGAAGCTTTGCAAAATCAAAACAAAAATCGTGTGGAGATTTTGGATTTGTGGATTTGGGAGGATTCCCACTGCTGCTACCACCACTCTTGTTGTTCCTCAGATTACACCTACTGTCGTTGCTCGGTTTCTTGGACACGCCGCTCCGACTGATTTCCTCTTTCCTCGATCAACCTTTCTGGGTTCGTTGTTTTGTGAGAGACCCGAAAACTGTTGATATTCGATGATTGTGCGCGATTCCCACTCTCTGGTTTTCCCTTTTCCCGAGTTGCCCTGCACTTCGGGTTCAGATGTTCATGGACGGGTTTAGCCATCAGATGCCATGAGCTAGGGTCCGTATGTTGTCGGAGCGGTGTCGGAGGGGTCGGTGGTGGATTGGATCTGGAACGCTGCCGGAGTGGGAGAAGAGGATTGGGTTTGGGGGTTGGGGTCGGTGGTGGAAGGAGAGGAGGAGAGGGAGAAGAAAGAGTTGTGATTTTTAATTTATTTTTAAATTAAAATATGACATGGCAAGTATTGTTGAGTTGTGGATGATGTGTCCGGTGAGTTGGAAGCTAGGTAACTGTTCCGTTAATTTGATTAAAGGTGTTACCGACGACGTTAAAATATCTAATGAAAATGGCTATATTTGTCATTAAACTTTCAAAATTATGGCTATATTTGGTAATTTGCCAAAAGTGGCTATTATTGTCACAAACGTCAAAGTTTTGGCTATACAGATGAATTTTGCCTTAAAAAAACTCAATCAATATTTCTTTCTTCTCCAGAAAAATGACATAACAATCAGATCTTATTGTTTGCCTTCCAGGTATCACAAACAAAGGCTGAGCTGTTGCCATAAATCTCCTAAACCCCTCCCGCTCAACAAATCTAAACGGAAGCTCGTCCAAGATTATCATCCTAGCTAATGCATGTCTAGATTTGTTCTGATCAAACTTCCGTGGAGTAAGAGAGCCTGCCTCACCATCTCCACTTCCAGCTCCAGGTTGATAGTTCAATACAGACTGACCACTAGCTTCCCTTGCCTTCCTCTCGCACATTAGGTGATGGCTCTTCAAACCACTAGTCCCATTGAAGGTTGAATGAGCTTTGATCAGCGTCCCACACCTTTTGCATTTGCCGTATGGGTAGTCATCAACCAACACACGGGTGTAAGGAATCCACCACTTAGATTTTGACTTCTTCCCCTTCCCCTTGTCAATTTTCTTCTGTACACCAGGTACCTCAACAGATGGAGGAGGATTTTCTGTAGATGGAGGAGGATTTGCCTCAGGAGGTGGATTTGCTGCAGCTGCAGGTGGATTTGCAGTAGTGGAAGGTGTGCTACTAGTTGAAGCCTTCCCTTTTTTTTGAAGAGCTTCGAGGAGGTAGAGAAATAGCTTTCTTCTTCTTACTACCTCCTCCATGGCTGCCAGCAGAAGCTTTCGTCCTAAAAAAAACAACAAAATGAGCACATAAACCTCCTAACAACAATTACTCATCAATTTTAGGTCAATCAAACTCAATAATCAATTCTCATCAATTCAATACAAACAATGAAAACTGCAATTCAATTAACTTATTAACATACATATATAGATTTTGGCTAATTGCTATTGCTCAATTCACTAACATACATATTCAGAATTCAGTGAATGTTGACTGTTGTTGGCTTGTTGTATGCAGCCTCCTTCGGCCCTTTGCTCTAAAAAATGCACAATCCAAGTTCTCTTCCCCAAACCAACTAGCTCCCTAACCAACTCTGAATATCAAAATGCACAACAATTACATTCAATTCTGATTTCTGAATATCAAAATTCAAACACAACAATTACATTCAATTCTCATCAGCAGCAGCACTATACAAATTACAAATGCTAACAAAAAATTCAAAATGCACAACAACTTACCTCCAAGTCGCCGAGAGAAGGGAGACTAGGTCTGGGTTTTAAATCGCCGATTGGGAAGTGTTGGTCGATTGAGAAGGGAGACCAAGTCGCCGATTGGGAAGGGAGACTAGGTTTGGGTTTTAAATCGCCGATTGGGAAGGGAGACCAAGTCGCCGATTGGAGGGGAGGGAGGGTGAGGGTTTCAGGGCCAGGTCTCCATCGGCGGGGAAGCGGGAAGGTGGCGGAGCGGCGGAGGATTGGGAAGTGCTGGTCGCGGCGTCGGCGAGGGAAGGGAAGCGGGTGAGGGATTCAGGAATCAGGGCCGTCGTCGTCAGCAGAAGGAGCGGCGTCCGGCGAAGAGGAGAAGAGGAGAGGTGGCTCCGCGCAGGGCTTCTCTCTCTGCCTCTGCGATTTCGAAACGAAGAAGGAAGGGTGGCGGCGGGTCGCTGCTGCAGTGTTGGGCGGGTAGTTTTTAGAACTAGGGTTGAAATCTTTGCCTAATAAAACGACGTCGTTTTGGGGTTCAGTATGGGTATTACCGATTTACTGTCTGTATTTACCGATACCGGATTCGGTATACCGACCCACCCAATCGCCGCTCGGCCGCCGATACCGCCGGTAAACGGTTCGGTAAAACGGTAAACCATTTACCGACGTACCGAATCCCACCCTTAGCAAAAACTGGTGTATATTGTACACTAGGCAATCTCTACCGTATGGTTAGTATCATTGTGGGACGCATACTGTGGAGATCGTCATATTTATGTTGACCGTTGAGATGAATGGTGGAGATTGCTTGTTGTACGATTGAGAGAGATCCATGTATGGTAGTTGACCAATATTTTACACGCCCCCAAAATGAAAGCCAACTCATGGGCTTAAAGTTTACACAAGCACAGAAGACTATGTGCTTTAAGACAACAGTTAATATTGATGGTTGTGCGGACTTGAACATGTGACATCAAGGAAAAATCAGCTCTGATACCATGACTTAAACCAATTGGTCTCAATAACTCGAGTTGTTAGGAGAGATCCATATAAAGATATTTAACCACTTCCTTACATTCATTGGTTAACAAATTTGTTTTTTTACCAATCTTTAATCCTATATGATCCAACACAATCCGACCCAACCCTTGCCCGAATCACATGTCCTGCCATAATGACTTGACCATTTTATTATTTAGGCATAATACACTTTCATATGCACAGGTTTCACGTTTGTGACATGTATAGACATAACTTTCGAAATACACAGATTAACCACTTTCATCCATCTCTTTAACGATGTCACTTAATAGTATGACTAGACTAGCAGAAATGATGAGTTGGCGATAATTTATCCCCACTAATCCACAATTCTCCCACCTAACCGCCCCTCTCTGTCGTCGCCTTATTTCCCAAATTGTCGATTGAGATCCCCAATTGCTAAACTGAAGAAAGAAGGTCTCAGAAGTTTTCCGGAGCCGTAGAAAAACGGTGAGAAAGAAGGCAAGAAGGCTGTTGGGAAAACCCATTAGATCTTTCCATTCTGACTTCCCATTAGGGGTGGTCGTTCGGTTACCGGTTAACCGGTTAGTTAAACCGATAACCGGTCGGTTATCCACTAACCGGTAACTAAAGTAACCAAACTTCGGTCGGTTATCGGAGGCTGGACAAAATGGTTTTTGGTCTTAAAAGTGGTTCGGTTAACCGACAACCAAGATAACCGAGAAACCGAAGCCTATTTCGGTTGATTTTCGGTAGAAAAGGTGGTTATTTTGGTAAACTGATAACCGGCCGATCGATTATCGGTTATAACCGAAATAACCAAACTGCCACCCCTACTTCCCATCTTTTCACCTTTACTTTCCTCTAAAAAACACCCCAGGTCTCCCAACCAAACCAATTGATACCCAGATCGACATCGCCCATCTCTTTCCCCTGTTAATTCTGAGTCCAACATTAGGAAAATCTACCAAAATCACCGAATCCCATTCGTTTCCCAGCGGCCTTTCCCTCAAGTTTACTCCAGTCGTTTCTCTTCGACACTCCACTCCTAAAGCAAAAAAAAAACTGAAATCTCACTCACGGGTTCTTCTCTCGCGTAAGTCCATTTCTCACCCGAAAAGCTAGAAACCACGAAATCTCAAAACCGCAAACCCCAAATCTCTCTCCAGCCAGCAGATATGAAATCGTCTCCTTCTTAGCCCGCTACTAATCTCCACCGCTTATATCATAATCGACCTGCATTCAAGCTACTCCACCTCTTTGCTCTTCCAATTGGACCTTCGGTGATCCGGCGTCATCCACCTCCTTCCCCTCAATAGTCATCGCATCGGACTCAAACCTATAACGTTGAAGAAGAGACAACGATCGGTAGTAAGAAACCTGAGGTGAAATGTAGCCTTCAAAATCATGGGAGAATGGGGTCAATAGACTTCATCACCAGTGGAAATAGTCTCGGACCAAAACCGTAATCTGTTTCTTTCAAAATCGAATGAAAATAACAATTGTAAAAAAAAACCCTTTGTATTGTGATATACCAAAAATGGAACTAGAAGAAATCCCCCCAAATAAGTGAGTAATGAAATTAATCATTGGTGAGTAATAGCCTAAGACCGAATCTGTAATTAGTAACTTTCAAAATTCAAGGAAAATAACCTTTCGAACAAATAGTCCAAAAAATTATGAAAATGCCCTCCAAAAATAAATCCACCCAACTAGGTGATTTATGGACTTAATCGTCGGTGGTTAATAGGATTAATAGGCTTCATCATCGGTGGGGAATAACCTCAGGCCGAATTCGTGATATGTAGCTTTCAAAATCAGAAAGAAATGACATTTCGGAAAAATCGACAGAAATATGTGATGCTACCTCTTTGGAATCTGCCAAAAATGGACCCTGAAGAAATCATACCAAATCTCTTATTAATGGACTTAATAATCGATAAAGAAAAGTCCCAGGCCAAATTCGTGATCTGTAGCCATCAAAATTCAAGGAAAACGGCTTTTCAAAGAAAAAAATGATAAAAAATTTACGAAAATGTCCTCTGAACATAAATCCGCCCAAATCGATGCTTAATGGATTTAATCTTCGGTGAAGAATAGGATCAATAGACTTCGTCATAGGTGGAGAATAGCCTAGGGCTGAATCCATGATCAGTAGCCTTCAAAATCAAAAGAAAATGGCATTTTGAAAAAATCACCTGAAATTTGTGATGGTACCCTTTGAAATCTGCCACAAATAGACCCGAAAGAAATTCGTCAAATCGATGCTTAATGGACTTAATCATTGGTGAAGAA